CAAATACTCATTCGTCTTTGGCTTTCGCCCATTTCAACTTTTTTCTTTCAGCCCTACCTGGGTGTTAAATGGTTCCTACCATTCATTGTAAGCCGTGATAAAGATTAACATACTTTATGTAGCCATTGCTACTTCGGATCGTTCCGAGGGCCTAATAAATGCTTTTAAAGCAATAATTGATGGGGCAATAGTACTGTTTATTCTTCCTAAGTATTTTTTAAATTTACTTTACTTGCTAGCTTAGATATGTACATGGAATAAAACATGACATTATAAGAAACAAAATTATTGGTAAGTTTTGATGTACAATCCATATGCCAAACATTTATGAATAAAAGCCCTTAACGGCCCTTGTAGAAATTTGGATCGAAGAAAGGATATACTAGGAGCTGAGAGTATCAGAAGTGAGTCGCTAGCGGGACAAATCAACTTGAGATTCAACAGCAACATTTATGAACAGGCATTCAGGCTTCCTATAGGATCGCCTCTATTGGCAAATGTATATATGAACAAATCAACGGTGCAACCAAAAGTTCTTATGCGGTACCTTGATGACTACTTCGCAATTTGGTCGCATGGAAGAGAAAAATTGGAGGATTTATTTGCATTTATAAACCGGATTGATGGAAGATTCAAGTACGCAAGGGACGTTTACCTCTACTAGATGTTGAAGTCATTCGCTCTAATAGGATATTCAGGAGAAAAGTGTTCCCAAAGAAGTAATATGCCGGAATAATACTCAATTTCGAATCTCATCACAACTACAGGTTGAAGATAGGGAAACTAAGGAGCATTATTATCAGAAGCCTTCTAGTAGCGGACATGGAATTATTGGATGAAGAATAGGAAAAGTTGGCCCGAATATTCCTCGGAAACGGATACCCGAGGGAAGTAATGCAAAGAAACATACTGGTCGTGAAGAGCCGATGACAGGACGGTGATCATGAGAGATAAAGATGCAGAAAGAGTCACAAAAATGGACATGCCTCTTCCTGCGAACTAGCTCAATAACTACGACCGATTTTGATAAACTGGAATATTCAGGTGATTATGAAGTAAAAAATAACAGTTTCCACAAGTCCACCCACACAACATTAGAGGGTAGAAGAATTCGATTGCTGGGAGCTTACTTTATAGCATGCGGCACCTGCAAATAGATATGTATTGGCGAAACTGGGAGAAAAATTAGCATACGAAGTGTAATCATTTCCACCACCGGTACTAGATGCTGTTTGCATGGCTCCTGAATTTCATTCTGCCCCCTCTTTTTTCCCTATCCTATTGCCAATTGGTTGCTGCTAAACCTCAAAATCACTGTTTTGCTGTATGAAATTTGGCTGTCTAAGAGCCTTCCCATCGTCGATTACGTCATATTCGAGAAATGTGATCAGATGATGCACATGCCAGTGACTGGGACTTCCTCTCCCTAGGCTTCGAACTCACGATTCAATTATCCTCTCCCTTATCCCCACTCATAGTTTCTCATTATTTGGGGCCCTGTGTTCGGCTTAAGTCATAACCACTGGTGTAAGAATGTACCGCTTCCCTTTTTCTCCTTTGAATCTCGAAAAACACTCATCTTATCTCTCAAGTTGACATTCCCATCTAATCCTAGGGTACTGGGATGATGTCCCTGTGTATGTTGGCTGGCATCCCCCGTAGTCAAGCCTGTCATCAGTCACCTATTCCGATACATACGAAAAATATACATGACACCTACGCACACACATTGGTGACCTCTATCTAGCCCATCTGTACCTTTAGCCTTTAATTTTATATCCTTCATCTCACAGGTGAACACAGGGAACTGGAACATTCATACAATCCTGAAGGAAATGGCAACCTTCTCCAGCTTGCCCACGCAACATGAAGAAGTCAACAAAATAGAGTGCTCCAGAGTTTACAGCAAAGACTGAAATGTTTGTAAGCAAAAATACATTGTAGAGACAGGAAAGACAATCATCACAAGGATTAAGAACATCAGCGACTGCAGAAGAATGGATACGGAAAGATCAGATATAGTTGAACACCTCGCCATTATCGGACATACAATTGACTGGAATGCAACTAATAAACTGGCCACATACGGGGAAAACATTAGGAAACGGAAGATCAGGGAGGCTGTGGACATACTCCTTTAAAGAAACCTGAAGAACAGGAAATTGGAAGATGATTATGCTTCCATAAACCCAATTGTTGCGACTCGGGCCACATTGGAGGAAATGAGAGCACATAATTGTGTGAATAAGTGGATGAGCCACATAAGGTAGGGTTGAGAGGAAGAGATGCGGCACTAGAATGTAGAACAAAAAATAGAGGCGAGGAGTAATGCCACAACGATTGAACATGAAATTGGTCGAGGAGATTGCCTTCATTTGCTACTGATAAGTTGTGCTCTGCGCTTACGGCGGCGCCTCTCACTGACGATGCCGGCGAAACGTGTGGGAATGTACCCTGCCAATTGTCCACTACTGGAAATCACGAATACTATGGCAGAGGATGTGGAACTAGGTACGTTCCACAAGATCTCCCTGACTATCCGACCAAGTTGCGAAAACAAAGTCGAACCAACATTAGTTACTTGTAGTTTGCTCTTGCATTATAGACGTGTGCTCTTGTCTCTGATTGCCTATGTTGTACATATGCAGTGTTTAAATCAATTTACATCTTTGACACCCTAATCAGACTCTAGACTAATAAAACTTTCATGTTTCTAGTTACTGGTCCGTCCTACTCTCTAATCATATCTAACAACCAGGGATAGTTATTGTTAGTTTTCCTGCACTTGTTCTTAGTCTTAAAGCTTTTGTGATTGTTCACATTTATATTTATGCCATTATCTTTCTCTAAACGAAATAGTAAACGTACCTTGCACGTCATTAGGTATTCATCCACTCTCATGGGTGTCTTGTGTTAGCTATTTTAAATTTCTAAGCCCAAATACCTTTGTAGTCGATTTTGTGTTAAAATACTGTCTGACATTTGGTTCGCCAG